TATATATCTGTGTGCATTGAATTACCTTAGAATCTGTTCTTAATACTGTATGTATTTTTCTGACCTTTCCATGGAGAAGAAAAATCGGTTTTAAGAACCTTTGGTTTTAAATTAGCATTTGTTTTGTAGACTGTATCTTCACAAAGCATTTCGCTTAGTTTCAGGGGTTTATGGCAGTTTGTACTTAGCCCAAGGTCATTAAAAACCTTACTGATGCTTATCTTGCTAGTCTTGAAAGTCAGGAATAGGCATTTCAAAGGGGGGAGGAAGTTTAGCAGGTCCTAAAAATAAGATCTTTGTGTCTTTTATGCATCTCTTTATTTTTATTTTATTTATTTTGATTTGTCAATCGCTTACAAGTGTATACATAGTTATGAATACATGAAATGGGTACATATAAGAAAAATAAAAGAAACAATAGGACAGGGACGGTAGGCACATTGGTGCGCTTATGCACACTCCCTACAGACCTCTTAGGAAAGGGGTGATGGAAGAAGCAGGACATTTTTAGCAGAACCAGAATGCAATTCAGTTTGAAGCATCACTCAAACAAATGTTGATTAATGCTTCAAACAACAGGTGCAGCTGCAAAATGCTTTCGTTTTATTCTCTTAATGGGACTAACCTGTATCTCCCAGCATTCCTCACTCCCGGCTATGATGTCTGAGATAGCTGGTGGTTATAATTCTGCCACATCCGGGGGGCCATTGAGATTGTGTGGGCCTGGAAGGTAGCAAGACCAGTTGAGTTACAATCAAAACCAGTTTTGGCCAGCCAGGGCTAAATTTGATCTGGCACAGTTTTTAAAAGAGAAAAGATTGATTTTAAGACTACTAGAGAGAGAAGGCAGGCTAAGCTTCACTCCTCAATATCTTTATGTAAGCCCTGGTGGACTCCATTACAGAGGTGGTATATTCAGCAGGTTCTGACCAGTTCTGGAGAACCGGTAGCAGAAATTTTAAGTAGTTTGGAGAACTGGCAAAAATATCACCTCTGACTGGACCCGCCCCCATCTATTCTCTGCCTCTCATTGAGTCCTAGCTGATCGGCTGGGTCTTCTTTGGTTGCCTTGCACAGGAGAATGGAGCTGGAAAGTAGGTTAGTGGGGTGGGGAGGGAATGGGCATTTTGCAGTAACCTTCCCTTGTCACGCCCACCAAGCCATGCCCACAGAACCGGTAGTAAAAAAAATTTGAATCCCACCACTGCTCCACTGCCTCATAACCCATCTTGAATTAATTCTTCAGTTCTCCCATTGCACTGTTTCTCAACTCAGTGGTTTTCAGATGGGTGACCTTCAATTCCCAGAATTCCCTCAGCCAGTATTCAGGCAGTTGAAATCCATGGACTCTGTTGAAAAAAAAATATCTATACTGTGTGAACTCTAGGTTGGGTTCATACAGCAAACCTTATCTGGTTGATCAACTCATTCATTTTCAGGGTTTCTACAATATCCTGAATGTAACCCAACCCAACAGGCTAGATTCATGCAACATTGGAGTCAAAATGAGCTCTCTCTCTCTCTCTCTCTCTCTCACACACACACACACACAGAGGGAGGGAGGGAGGGAGAGAGAGAAAGAGAGAGAGAGAGAGAGAGAGAGAGAGAGAGAGAGAGAGAGAGCTTCCAGAGTCTAGCATGTGTGAATGAAGCCAATAGATTTTTAAAGAAATGTTTAAGGGTGCTGTGCAGCCCCATTGAAGGGGTGGGAGTAGAGTGGGGATTACATACCACTAAATGCCTTGTTTAATTATTTATTTAAGAATTATAATTTCATCATTATCTATCAGCCTTCAGCCTTTTTACTAAAAGAGTTCCCCATAATAAGGACAGCCTCTGCACTGGGCTCCATTTCAGGATCTGTTTTAGTGAAAACAGTTCTAGACAGTTTAGAAAATGTGCATTGAGGCTAAATATTAGATCAAAGCTCAGGTTGGTCTTAAATTCTCACTTGTTTCTTTTTTCTTACTGTTTCCACAGTATGTAAATCCTGCATTTGAAGCAGTAATGGGCTATCAGAAAGGCGAATTAATAGGAAAGGAACTAACAGAAGTGCCTACAAATGAAAAAAAAGCTGATTTCCTTGACACTATTAATTCTTGCATCAAGTTCGAAAAGGTAGGCATGGACCTGGTTTTGGGTGGCAAGGTTACTTAGAAGTGGCTGGCCATTGTCTCCTTCCAAGGGCTGGGAGAATGTGACTGGCCCAAGGTCGCTTTGCCAAAGATGGGTCTAGAACTCCCAGTATCCTATTTCTAGCCTGTTTGGAATTTGGAAGAAGAAAGACTGGAGGTGATAAAATATATCTTTTTAAGGCAAATAAAACAGAAGCTTTTCACTGAGAATTTGTTTATATTTCCTCTTCGTTTTTAAGTTAATAGTTTGGGGTTTGATCTGCAATAGATACAATAGATAAATGCTGTAATTTGGGACTCTATTGGGAAGCATAGCTATGAGTCTTTTGGGGCCATCCCCTACTTGAAGTTTGCAGTTCATCATTGCAAGTGATGTTATGGAAGTGAGTGTCAACTCATAAAATATTTCTATGGTCTTTTAGAGTTGCCAACAGAAAGGGGGGGTGGGGGGGAAGCAGTGCAGCAGCTTGCAAAACCGAAACTGCATTCCATTAATGTTTCCAAAGATGGTAACTAGGTGACCAAAGTTTTTGCCATGCAAAATTCTAACTGGAGAATATGATTGATGACTCTTGGCTATGGATGTGTCCCATTGGAGAATATGAATTTCGATAAACCTAGGGGGTGGAGGAAAACCAGGGTCAAGGGTGACAATGAATGATGTGTCTCAGAGTTGGCTACACCCAGGCAGCGCCAGCATGTTTACTCCTAATAAATCTTCTTGAAGCTTTGAAAATCTGGCTAGAGACTCATGATTTAAATGGGGGTAATTACAGTGAGCAGGAATGGGAAGAGCTCTGAGGAGTCATTGATGATCTCTGAGCTTGGATGGTTTCTTGCAGAGGTTTCATTACCCAAGTAGGTAGCGTCATCACTGATGATGTTACCTAGTTTGGATAACAAAATGTCTGCAAGAAAACAACCAGGCTCAGAGAGCACCAAGGACCCCTCATTTCAACCCCGAGCTGCAAATATTCTCCTTTATTGGGCAGAGCTTTATTTGCATCAAGCAAATACATTCTATTTTTTACCCCAGAACTAAAGAAGCACTGAAAAGCATCCAGCATGCATGTGCTAAAAGCTTGCAACCTCTTTCAACCTCTTTGTTCAAAATGTCATCACAATTCTAATTCAATGTTGGTGGCCTTCGGGGGGTAATTAGCTGTAATGTATACAACAGAAAGTTCCAGTTAGATGCCAAGTGGTTAAGACTGAGGGGGTGGGGGAGATTTCAGTGAAGCTACACAGTCAAACACAAGTGCAGGAAGAGGTTCTAGCAAACGGTATAACGTTGTGCCAATGCTAGGAGAGAATTAGTTTGCTAACCCTCCCAAAGCAGAACTTTCCCACAAGGCAACCTGTTGTGGTTAGCTGGCAGCAGGTGCAGATGGCTTAGGAGAGTGAGGACTCAAATGAGGGGCCAGAACCATCACAGAGTGGACTGCTGCCTTCAGAGATTGTGGCAGCAGTGATGAGGAGGTTCCCGAGGAGCCTGTGCCAAGTGCACATGCACGAAGGATTACTCGGAGGAAAGAACAATTACAGCAGCACAGGCAACTCAGGAGTAAGGCTGCAAAGTAATGGCCCCTCCCACAAGAGGATAAAAGCCAGGTTTGGAAAAGCGTTCTTTGCAGACAGCAAAGAAGCTCTGAAGCTCAACTGGTGGACATCTTAGTTCGTGTTTGGAAAATCTTGTAAATTAGTTCTTATTTCTGGGTTTTTGGCAGCCTTGACAAACAACTTGGCAAGGCTCTTGTCAGAGCTAATTAGTGGAAAGCAGCCTTTGATCTGTAAAGGAACAGAATTCGTTATTAAACCTCAAAAGGTGGGGGCTGCTGCCTTTGTCTGTGTTTATTCTTTGGGAACCGGGTTGGGTCAGAACACAACCATCCAAAATCAGGGCAAGCAAATTGAGTTAAAAATGTGCTTTGAGAATGGGCAGTGGAACATTCCTCTTTCTTGATCTAACAGGAATGGCAAGGGACTTACTATACCAAAAAGAAAAACGGCGAGAGCATACAACAAAATGTGAAGATCATACCTGTCCTTGGACAGGGAGGGTAAGTCTTCTAGTGGTGCCTTCAAGTCAGTTTTGGACTCCTGGGGACTGCCTGGATTGGACCCTGCAGTTTTCCGCGCAAGATTTTTCAGACACGCTTTGCTCTTGGCTCCTTCTTTTCAGGGACTAACTGGGGCAAGGCCACCCAGTTGGCTTTATGTCCAAGGAAAGGCTAGAACTCACAGTCTCCTGGTTTCTAGCCTGACGCCTTAACCCAGGGGTGGACTTCAAAAATTATTAGCAAAGGGTTCTCTGCCTGGTTGCTGGGTGGGTGTGGCCATGGTGGGCATGGCCTAGTTGGCCTCCTGCACCGTTGTGGTGGGAGGGGTGTTTTTGCTCTCCCCAGGCTCCGGAGGCTTTCCTCGAGCCTTCGGGAGGGTGAAAATGGCCTCCCCGGGCTCCGGAGGCTCTCTGGAAGCTGGAAATAGGCCCATTTCTGGCCTTCCAGAACTTCTGCAAGGCCTTTTTTTCCCCTTCCCCAAGCCTCTGCGGGAACCTTCACTTACCTGCATCCAAAACGGGCCACGTGGGGACTCCTGGGTGGGGCAGGGTGGGGTGGGCAGGGCCAGCCAGGAGTGGGATTTGGGGGTTCTACGAACTGCACAGAATCTTAGCGAGGGGCTCTCCTGAACTCCTGCGAACCCCCAGCAGCCCAACCTGTCTTAACCCCTGCCCCAAACAGGCCCGTCTATGCTTGCTTTAACATTGGCGGCATCTCTATTCTCTATTATGAAATGTAGGCAGGTGTTTATGGAGAACAGAATCCTGCCACATCCAAAATTAGGCTCTAAACTTCCAGTTAGTCCTTGACTTACAATTCATTCAGAGAGCATTCAAAGTTACAATGGAACTGGGAAAAAGAGTGACTTACAGCCATTCCTCACACTTACAGCCGTTGCAGCACAGTCACGTGATCAGAATTTGCACTGAATTTATACAACAGTGGCAGCATCCGGAGGTCGCTGCCGTTTGCAAACCTTCCCAATGACGAGCCAAGTCAAATAGGGGAAATCTAATTCGCTTAACAACCACAGGTTTCAGTTAACAGCAGGAATTTGCTTAATAATCTTTGCAAAATAAACACACACACACTTCTTTGTCTAGATTTCATTTTATTTTTAAATAAAATTTTTATTTTTAAAAAAGATTTAGCAGTAAGCAAATGGAGCCAGTTGACAAATTGGAGACCGAAATTGTTCTCATTCCATTCTTTTGTTTCATTTTTGCAGAAAAATTAGACACTATGTGTCACTTAGTAGACCGTGCAATGACAACAATAAGGTAAGCAATAGCAATAATAATAATAATAATAATTCTTGTGCAACTTCAGAATTCAGACGGACAGGTACTTGGCCCCCAACACACCTGACATAACAATAGTTGAAAAGAAAAAGGGCCGGTTCATTGACATTGCAATACCTGGTGATGCATGAATTGAAAACACGCAGCAAGAAAAAAAATCACAAAGTATCGGGACTTACAAATTGAAGTTGAGCGACTTTGGAAAAAGAAATTGTGTGTTATCTCAATTGTAATTGGAGCCCTTGGAGCAATACCTAAAGGGCTGCCTCGCTATTTGGAAATCCTGAATTTATCAGACTTGAATAACCTGATTCTACAAAAAAACCACCCTACTTGGAACAGCTTATATCCTCTGGTGCTACCTGAACAGTTCCTAGGTCCTTGGTTAGGACTCGAGCTGTTGAGCTACGAACCAACCCCAAAGGCTGTGAATCTCACTAAAGTTTAAATAGTAGTAGTAGTAGTAGTAGTAGTAGTAATAATAATAATAATAATAATAATAATATTAATAACAACAGCAGCAGCAGCAGCAGCAGCAGCAGCCTTGGGTGCAATTCCAAAACAACTGGAGCACCACTTGAACAACATCATTGGCATTGATAAATTTGCCATCAGTCAATTGCAGAAGGCAGCTTTACTTGGAACAGCTTCCATCCTGCATGATAACTGTAACACCATCAAACATCCAGATCTGCCTATCCCAGGTCCTTGATAAGGACTTGATAGGTACACAGAAATGCCAAACCCAGTCTGAACATCTGGCTGACTGTGCGGTGATCAATAATACATAATGAATTTATGTATTTAATTAACTCAGTTTCAAGGCCGCTGAACTCCTCAATGGCTCTTAGTGGCTTACAGTTTTAAAAAATTGTAATTCCGGGACGATTCCTACAACTTGGGTTAATTGTACTTTTCACTCTGATTCGTTCACAGGCGGAAAGAATCTGCGAAAGAGTGCAGGCTGAGTCCCAGACAGGTATAATGTTGCAACTGCACAAAATTGGTTGTGTTTCAATAATGGCTTTGTTATTCTCAATGTGGCTTTTTCCCCCCGGTCTCTCAAAAAAATGGGTGTTTTCTAGCCATATTTTAGAAGAGCCAAATTAAGGATATTAACAGTGAAAACCTTAATAAACAAATCACATTGAATTATGCAGGGTTTTGTGGTAGCAGGAATTTCAGCGTGTTGGGGGAACTAAGCACACCTTTGCATTAATGTGTAAAATAATGGTATTTGTTTGGCCCCTGCAAATTGTGCAAATGCAGCCATGGTTTGAGAATTGAAGCATTCGATGGACTGACTTTAGGAATTGTAACAAGGAGACTGAAGCAGATGTGATACGGTTAAAGAAAAGCAATAATATTTACACAACAATAAAATGATATCCTAGGAGGGAGATAAGGAGGAAACTATCTGGTCCGGGCAGCTGTGTTTCAAAAGCGATGAGAATCAAAGAAAGCTTGACTGTTTAATGTGTACATTACGTAGGGCTCCAATTTAGCTTTCTCCCCATGTAGTAATAGCTGATAAAGCTTCAGTAACTTAGATTTAATATATCAAAGGGCAGAAGCTGAGTTTTACCCTGGCTAGAAATAGAACTTATGAAGGGCATGTTTGTTTGGCTGCTGCTATGACAAGCTATAGGTACTGTATTTAGTATTCGTAAGGTGGGACTTCACAGATCAGGCAAAATCTAATTTTGGGGAATAAAAATTGGGTTGGTTAAGGTTTTTTCTCTTTGAAATTTAAGAGGGGGAATCCCCCCCCCCAAAAGCAAGTCCATTCAGGAATGGGATGAGGTTGGGCAATATTTTTGGGATTACAGGAAGGGTTGCCTGGGGAAAAACAGCCTCTGGATGGATTTGTATTTGGGAAAGAAAAAGGTACAGATTTTGTTCCAGGATAACAAGGAGGTCCTCAACTTATGACCACAATTGAGCCCAACATTTAGGTTGCTAAGTGAGACATTTATTCAGTGATTTTTGCCCCATTTTACAACCTTCCATTGTTGTTAAATGCGTCACTGCAGTTGTGAAGTTTGTAACCCAGTTGTTAAATGAATCTGGCTTCCCCATTGTCATAATAAGACCCTGGGACACTGTAACCATCATAAATATGAGTCAGTTGCAGAGTGTCTTTTGATCCCATGACCTTGAGGATACCAGAATGGTTGTAAATGTGAAAAAGAGTCATAAGTTGCTGTTTTCCAGTGTCATTGTAACTTTGAACGGTCACTAAATGAACTGTTGTAAGTTGAGAACTTCCTGTATTGGTAGTCCTTGATTTGCAACCATTTGTTCAGGGACTGTTGGAGGTTACTTTTGGCCAGTCCTCATACTTACAACTATTGCATCCTCCTCCTAGCCACGTGATCAGAATTCAGTTGTTTGGTAACCATCCTGTACACGATGGCTGCATTCTCTTGGAATCGCACGATCACCATTTCTGACCTCCTCACTTGATTCCCAACAAGCAAAGTCAATGGGGCAAGTTTGATTCTCATAATGACCATGTTCTGACCCAGGTCCCCGAATAATGACAAACCCTCTGAGGTGAACTAAAAGATTCCTTTATTAGGAGCGCCAGAAGCTCTGACAAAAAGTTTCTCTTACTGAAGGCTAACAAGTCCATCTGACTGTCTGCCACATCTATTCATCGCTGCCTCCTGCCTTTTATCCCCAGAGCTAGGGTGCGGCTTCGCTAGCAGCGGTGGCTCTTCCGTCCCAAGGTCCGGCCCATAGATTTCCAGTGCTCTCCTCTCCTCTGTCTTTTGCACATCCGTGCATCAGACACTGGACCCAGCTGTCCCTCATCTTCCTCATCAGCCGCCTCCAGACCTGGGGGCTGACGGATGGCTCAGGCTCCGCCTCTCTCTCTCTCTCTCTGCCAGCTCCATTCCTTCTTCCCCCTCTGAGCTCTCAGGGTGCCTTGATGCTGATCCTGACTCCCACCCTGCCTTCTCCTCTGATTTGGCTGCTGGAGGGGCCAGCGGCCGACAAGCTACAACAGACCACGTGATTTATTTAACGGCTGCAGTTGTTTGTCTAACAACAATGTCAAACAAAGGTTGTAATATTGGGTGCAACTTACTTAACAACCCCTTTGCTTAACAACAAGAAGATCCGGTGACAATTGTGGCCATACACTGAGGAGTACTTCTCACAGACTTATTTCCTGTTCTTAATTCAAGGCAGAATTGATCTTACCCATTGAGATAGAACCAAGTGTCTGGGCTAAGAAACCGATTCCAATCACCGAGTTGGAAGTTAACAATTTGGGGCCAACAGGAGGGATCAAAAACGAGTTCCTACCTCTTCAGAACAGATATGTTCTTTCTCACAGTAGCCATGATCTACTCTCTTCATTTTTACAGATATCCAGACCTGCAGGCACAAAGACAAGAGAAAAGGCTCTCTTGATGTCCGATCCACTACCTCTCGAGGCAGTGATGGTATAGGATTAGCTTTTTGTTGTTGTTGTTGTAAAATTGCCTTTTTAAATGGCCTTCTCAATAATTGGTACCCTTGGGTCGCCGACTTCCTTCAAAACCCAGGACATGCATCTGCCTTCATTTGGGGGTGGGGGTGGGGGTGAATTGCAGTGACAAAGTTGTAAACTTCAGGTATCTAGCGAGGCAAATGCATGTATTCTGTACCCCAGCTGCCGTTTTTATAATGCATTTAGACGCGGCTGATGAAATTTGGATGTGCAGAGCCTGGGGATGGAGTCAAAAGAGGAATTAGCCTAGAATCATTACGTTCCCACAAGTGGTCTAAATCCAAACCCTCTTGAATTCCATTGACTCTTATCTAGTTGCAGTTCAGTGCTGACCATTCTTGTGTCCAGGCATGAGCAACAAACCAGCTTAACTGGAACCTATCATGTCTTGATTCTGCACACCTGAGACAATGTTTGTTGGCTTTATGTTGCAATGTAAAATATTTTAGTGAACAGAAAACTCTACTCTTCAGTAAGAACAACATTAGTTTGGAAAAAACTGATGCCATCAATTCATGCGCCTCTTTATTCCCCCCGCCCCCCTTGCATAGGAAGTTCTCAGAGGAGACATTCATCCATGGCCCGCATACATTCAATGACAATTGAGGCACCTATAACCAAGGTAAGGCACTCCCATTTGCGGTCACTTCAATCTGTTGGAAACTTTGCTTTCTCCTGTTATAAACCTCTCATGTCTTTGCCTAGTGAATGATGGTGGTGCAGTTAGAATGCAGTATTGCAGACTAATTCTGCCACTGCCAGCAGTTCGATCCTGACCTGCTCAAGGTTGACTCAGCCTTCTGTTCTTCTGAAGTTGGTAAAATGAGGAGTCAGATTGTTGGGGGCAAGATGCTGTCTCTGTAAACTGCTTAGAGAGGGCTGTAAAGCATTATGAAGTGGTATATAAGTCTAAGTGCTATTGCTATTGCTTTGCATTGTTTATTGACTCTTCAAGTTAAGGGAAAGGAAAAATGTATTCCCATTAGGTAAATAGAGCTTTCTTTCTTTCTTTCTTTCTTTCTTTCTTTCTTTCTTTCTTTCTTTCTTTCTTTCTTTCTTTCT